ACTCTTTCCACAATGTCATACAAGAAGCCAAGTTGTGCCCATTATGCTCTTTTAATCCTCTTCAACAACCTACAGCCCACAGACCCACTGGATCCAGCCCACAGCCATAAGCTTTTGGCACTGCAGATCTTCAGTGACTATGGCCATTCTTCCCATACCTCCACAGGGAGAAGTGGCAACAGCAGGGGGGGGTCCTAGTACCTGCCTGCCTCTGGCCCAGCAACCTGCAAAAGGTTGCCAACTGCTGCTCTTCAGGATCACTATACTTCAGGGCACAGCTCCACATTCTGCACTTCTTGTTCCTGGATTTGTTAAACTAATTTTATCTGAGTAGCCCAATCTTACAAAGGAATCCCAATCTCCAGGTATGGACATGTATACCTACAAAAGGGCATCAACTCTTACATTCCAACTGTTACACATGGAGAAGCCAGAAAACAATGCAAATGTTCCAAAAACCACTCCCATTTTAAAACAGCTTTATCACATGTTAAAATTGAAGCAGTTTTGCTACATCTGCATCATTTTCTGGCTTCTGCATACGTAAAAATTAGAACATAAAAGTTGATGCCCCTTGAGAATGCCTCTAAATGTACATTTGTCCATACCTACAGAGATCAAAATTGCTTCCGTCTTACCCACATTTACCGTCCTAACGGCCGCTGCCCTTTTGAAATGGCTCCAAAGGTACCTGTGCCCATGCCCTCTGTAAAACTGCCTTATCTTCCCCATTATTTCTTATTAAGCCCACCTTTGGAGTAGCTATGAATTTTCATTGATCTGTATACTTTACTTGCAATTTAATGATGAAAATGTTTAACAGTATTGGGCCTAGTATCAGTCCTTGCAGAATCCCATGGGAAACACTTCAATTTGTGACTTCCTCCTGGACAAGTACTTTGAGACTTGCCAGTTTGCCATTTCATTTACTGTGACACACAGATACCACATAACACCAATTTTTTAAATCATAACGGTATTCAATACCAAAACAAATGACTTAGCGTAAATGCAATACACTTTTTCTGCTACCTTTATCAGCCAAACCTGTAATCACCAGAAAGAATGCAATCAGATGCATCTGACAAGACATTTTCCAAAAAAACATTTTGACTGACATTTCTCTCCGTTAAATCCCGTAACATCTTTTCTATTATTTTACCCAGGACTGACTGATGCCAGGCTAACTACAAGTACTGGGGTCACCACAACATTAACATCTCTTCCAGTCTTCTAGAATATCCCAGGTATTCCACAGTTTATTAAACATGAACACCAGTGGGCCAGAGATTGGTCTTGAACCAATTCCTACGGAGCAAGTTATCCAAGCCTGCTGATTTAGAAATGTGTATTTGTAGTAGCTGCCTAATATTCTCTGGATGAGTATCACTTTTTGCTTCATTTCTAGTGCAGAACAGAAATATTTAACACTGGGCACATCTACACAACACGCTTAATGTGCATTAGCCTACCAACACTGCGCAGTACTGTCACAGCGAAAACCATGCTAATAGCTACTGCGCAGTGTTATTAGGCTATGTTGTGAGCGTCACGAAAAAACCATGTGCCAGTGATACTGTGCAGTAACTTGATGTACTGAACATTTAGTTAGTACTTTATTAAGCAAGTACTAAACTAAATGCACAGTATATAAGGTACATATGAATGTACAGAAGTGCCCACTTTTACCTTTTTTACACCCTTTTCACTGTCCCCATCTTCAGCTAGTAACAGGTTTGTGCAGTTAAGAGTACTTCTTTTGCTCCTCATGTATGCAAACTGCCGGCTACCGTCCCTAACCCCGCAGTTAAGGATATTTTGCCGACGTGGTTGCCAGCCCCTAGACAACGCTCTAACCGTGACAACTTTGGACGTATACTGACAACTGCTTACTCCTCGCCCTTTCTCTATTTATTATGAAATGTGATATCTGATGATTAAATCACCACATTCACTCC